CAAGAGGTAGGACTTCCAGTTTTTGCTTCTTCCATGCGTGATCTGAAACAGCTGACCCGTGGAGATGAGTTCACAGGTGACTGTGCTGGCAGGGATACATACAAGATGGCAGAAATGCCAACTTGAAGTGGTTGTCCCCTGTCACTGTCCCCTGTGTTGATGTAGAGAAGTATCAAGTTCCTACAAAACCTTAACTTCACTTTACACTTTCTAACTTTTCTTGAGAAAAAGAGAATCTCATTATGTTCACATAGCCCTTGGGCTAGTAGAATATTTGAGCTTAAACAAAGACAATTAAATAAACCCACATCACTGGCTTTGTGCCCACATTCTTCTTTGCTCTGATTTCCTTTGACTTCTGCTGTTTTGTATTATGTTAAAAAAAGAACTGCATTTTTCACATCAAGAGGACACTGACACCACCTGCTTTGGGTATTGCCTTCGACACACCTATTTACAGCATAGATGGAGTGTATCTAACTCCTGACTCTGTTACAAATCCAAAAGGTACTAGAAAAACTTTTGTTTAGTATTTTGAAATGGGGATTTTAGTAAGTGGAGTATTTGGTTACCATGCAAATTTTACAGTTCAGTACTTTTTTTCTCCAGAATTACTGCTTCTTGAAGTATATAGGAGGTGAGGAAAAAACTAAGGTAACTACTTGAGGTGCAAAAAACAAGTCAAATCAAAAAGGATGTTAATGGTTTGGAAAATATTCTTCACTTACTTTCCATAAAATTGTATTTATTTTTAAGATGGATTTGGTAGTTGGGGAAGCAAGAACAGCATTGCACATGAGAAGAAGAGGTACTAAACCAAAGATAGGTGTGTGACTGAACTTATTTAGTGGTAGCATGCCAAATCAGCAAAACTGCAGGGCACAGAATAGGATGTGCTTGAAATGGTGCCCATCTACTAAATCATTAAACTTGGGGTTTTTTTAAATGTCATCTGGGACTGCCTTTGGCAGCTGTAACTCTTTTAAAGTTTAATGCCTCGGTGTCCTGAAAACATGATACAGTTTCTTGACACTAGTGCATCTGTGTGACAGAGAGCAAGGGTATCTAGTTGTTTGCTAAGGTGAGTGGTGTCATCACAGTATCTCCCTGATTCTAAATAATATATAGCCTGAAGTACCAATTGCTACAGCCCGTTTTTGCCAGTCTGAATTTGTTGTGACTTCTACCAAAACTACAGCTCTAAGTGACAGATTTTATATTAACTTAATAAAGGAGGAAATGGAAGAAGACTGCCAAGGCAGGAGTTTGGAAGTAGTCTCTTGACTGGCCTACACAAATGATGGGGGAAAAGTGCTTTCTTTTCATTGTAACAAGTAACAAAATGTGACTGTCGGATTATTTATTAAAGACCCAGCAGCCTTTCAAACCAGCTTGGACTGTTTTATAGGGGAGCCAGGAAACAAAGTGGGGACAGAAAAACCAGCTCATTAGAAAAATGCAACTACTGGGAAGTGGGACAAGGCCTTTAGATTCCTCTGTGTCTATTGATTAGCAGCCTAAGCAACAGCAGAAAAGGAAAAACGGTTTGGTTTTGCAGGCTTACTGCTTTTTTGCCTTTTTTTTTTTTTAAAGTGTTAAAATGCAGTTTGATCATACCACAAGTCTTAATGTACTAGGTCTCTTCAATGTGAAGATAACCTCAGGATGTCTTGAGTAAGCTTTGCACTGTCTCGTCACCTCTCTGTGAAGCCTTTGCTTATAGAATGTGTCAGGATTCACAAGTTGTTGGGTTTTTTTATCTTCCTAGGGCTGAGAAGGAGCCTCAGTTCAAGTTTATCTATTTCAATCACATGAACCTGGCAGAGAAAAGTACCATTCACATGAGGAAAACACCCAGTGTATCACTTGCATCTGTTCACCCTGACCTCATGAAGATTCTTGGTGACATCAACAGTGACTTCTCCAGGTAATGTTTAACTATTAAAAAGTCTGTAACTGCTTCTGTAAGGTAGATTTTTTTTTCAAATGTATGAAACTTTCATGTCTTTCTGTTCATGGATGGCTCTGAGATAAACTGTGTAACACAGGTCATATTTAGTATTTTGTGTTTGTTTAGAAGTAGTTGTGTCTTAAACAAAACTTTTATTGTCCCTTAAAAAAAATAGTTTAAGAAAAGCCAGGGCCTCTATCTAAGAAAATATCTAATTTATTTGAAGCTTCAGAGCAGCCATAACAAGCTTAGGAAGGACATGAGCCTACTGCTTTTGCACCTATGTCTGACTAATCTCTGGATAAGTAGTATAGAGGACAAACAAACCTGCTTCTGCCTACATTATACCCTCCTCTGAAGCAGCTGGCTCTCCTTTTAGGGAGTAGACAATAGATGAAATGCAAACCTTGCAGTTCCTACAATACTCATGATAGAGAAGGTAACTGGTTTCTTGTCAGTGGGTATTGTGCTTCAAGGTGGGACAGACCCTCTGTCACTATAAAAATGAATAAACTTGAAAATGGTGAATGATTTTGATCTAAAATTGTTAACTAGCAGTTTTCCTACTCTGCTTAAGGACAAGGTTCTCATTTTTCTTAAAATGAAAAAAGAATGTTTCACCACATTGTAGAAGTACTGGGTAAGTGAGAGCTTTATGTTGAGCATGGTTTAGTTCTAAATTTAACAATTAGGTATGTGAAAGCTTAATACCACTATGCCATCTCCAACTTTCATTGTAACACTGTGTCACTGTAACAAATGATAATTCTTTGAAGTGTGTCCAACAGAATGGAGGATAGGTGTTTCCTTCAGAGCATTGGAGTGTTTGGTTGGTGGACAAATTAATGATTTATTCATCTGGGGATGTAATTGTCCTAAGCAGCCATTTATGAAGCTTTCATCTTGGATTGCTGAATCATATCAAAGTTACTATTGGTAGTCTCTCTTTGAAACTGCACAACCACCACAATTTATTACATTAAGCTGTCCTAATAATTACAAATAAGTTTGTTGAAGGTGAACTTGCTGCCACCTTCTTTACTCTCAAAACTTCTTTCAGAGTTGATGAAGACGAGGAAATCATCGTGAAAGCAATGAGTGATTACTGGGTAGTTGGGAAAAAGTCTGACCAACGAGAACTATATGTTATTTTGAATCAAAAAAATGCAAATCTGATAGAAGTTAATGGTAAGGATTGTTTTTTATTGCCTTTAAATACAGTTAGTACTAAAATGTATGTCCCTGGAGAAGGAATAAAATTCATCTCACATGAAATCTAGAGAGGGACTGATCTATGATAGACCAGGTAAGTCTGCCTTCTACCTGCTGTGAAAGAACAGCATGAATATTCAGCATAAATATTCAGCAGACATTCTTAATTATTAAACAGTCATTCTTCCTCCTTCTAATAATGGAGATCTCTGTCAGCTCCATTTAGGAGTAATTAATGAAGCATATTACAGGGAAGAGATGAACATATTTACATCTGAGTTAGATTTTATTTGTCAGTGATCCATGGGTAGGCTACTTATATGTAATGTCTATCCTATCTGATCCACTTCCATTCTTGTCTTGTTTCTAATACTGTTTTGAGAATGATTTACTATGACCAAGAGTGTGAACTAACATGAGGATGCAATAAGCTTTTAAACAGGGTAAGAGAAATGGCAGTTTGAGTCTTACTTGCAGCAATTTTAGGGCCCTCAGTTTTAAAAGAAGGCAGCTGCTTACTTGGATGATGGGAAAGAATTAATACTTCTCCAAAACCAAACCCTAGCAACCTAAATTTCAAGAACAGGACTGAATTGCATGACTTACAAAATGATTTTTAACTGTTTTTTAGGATTAAACCTGCCATACAGAAACAGTAAATAAGTTATCAGGCACAGAGAAACACTTAGGAAGTACTGCTACCCTCAAAGTGTTGTCTGCCAAATAGCACAAAGCAGGTTTTGCTTGTGGGTTTACAAGGTACTTCTTGTGTTGAAGCAAAGTCTTCTACTACTGCAGATCAAAAGTTTGACATGATGAATGGCCCTGCAGCAACCTCAAACCATCACTTAACTTTAGCCACTTAGAAAAAATCTTGGGATTTTCTAAGATGATTTGTATTCTATCTAATTATATTGTTCATGATCCTCAGGATTTTTCATATGCAGGTTCCTGCAAAATACTACAATGAAAGACTTTTTTTTTTTTTTTTTTTAACAGAAGAAGTGAAGAAACTTTGTGCAACACAGTTTAATAATATTTTCTTCTTGGATTGATCTCCAAAGGGCTGATTTATTGAAGACATCTATGTCAGACACTTGTTCAACAGGAAAAGTTATTAGTCATATTATTGACTGGAATAATAAGAATAGTAAAGCAATACTTGCTTTGTAAGAATCAAAATTTCTACTAAAGTCTGTAAACTCTGATCATAAAATTTTTAGATTTTAAAAATGTTTAAGTGCAAACTAATTAAAAACCAGTCTGAATTCATCTGTACCATTCCATTCTGATACGTTATGTGAATATTTTCCTGGAAAATAAACCTAATAATTGTTACACTTTTAAGGGCATCTTTTTGTTTTCCTGTGTTCATTTCCATGATTGTGTGGCTTTCTGCTGATTTTCTACAATATGACACCAGATCAGCTACGAAAGACCCCTGAACAAATAACATTCTAGGTTAACCTGTTCTTCACAGCTCCTGCTTCAGTCTAATTTACGTTCTTTGCCAAATTCTTACATAATTGTTTTTATGCAGTATTTCAGTCATATAAATCATGTTTTAAGCAGAAACCCTTTCATTGGGACATACAGTCATGACAAGGTTATCAATTCTTGTATTGACACTGAGGGAGTGTTCAGATACCAGTCAAATTCTGACTGCTGTTACAGCTCCATATAAAGGGTTACACTCACGTAAATGACTGCTGTCTTTCCGAAGACCTAGTGCATACAGTTTAAACATACTTTAATTTTAGACCTTACTGCAAGTGTGGTTTCTTTTGTTGTTTTTCTTATTCAAAAAGCAGTTACTCACTTGAAGCTTCCAGAGCTCTCAGGGTTTCTTCTTTTTCTTTCTGCGTTGCCCCTTGGTAGAGATAGGGGATGGTGCAGTGACTGCCTCGTCCTTGGGAGGGGGTCCTAACCGTGTGCCAGGCCTCTCTAACTCCTGCAAATCTGAACTGGAGTCAACTGCTTCTGCTGCTGCAGCTGCTTCGTGCATTTTTGACTCTTCTGCTTCTCTTGCAGCTATAAGTCTTGAGTGAACAAAGTTTAAATTTAGTGTACTGCAAGGAGCAGGGGAGAAGACAGATTTATACTTGCTCAGCAACTGCAGTTATATTCATGGTGTGAGCAGCCATGTTAACTGATGTATTGTAGAGGAGCAGAAAATCTGTCTAGCTCCTGCTTCAAGTCTAACTTACGGTATTAAAAAAAAGGCTTTACTGCTCAAATGCCAGGAAGCATCAGAGCTAGTGTCATCTGAAAGCAGCCTGCATTTGTTACTCTCAACAGTAACGAGGCACATGAGTTACATTTTGCATGTCGCTTATTACAGCAGGATGAGTTTGTTTTCCCAGTTTCAGAATGAGAAGCACACTTCTCATTTTCATTAGTTTTGTTAGCAGAAGGTAAGAAATAACAGTAGTTCAACATAAAACACTCACTTTGCCAGCTCCTCATCCTTGAGCTTTCTCAGCTCAGCTAACTCAGCATCCTGTATTCGATTTTCTAGTATTTTTTCCCTCAGCACTTTTTCATGCTGATAGGCAGGGAAGAGCTTAGCTGTAAAAAAGATCTGCACCTGACGCATCCGCAGACTAAATTTCTCATCTTGTTCAGTTTTGGCTTCTCGTTCATCTGCAACATGCAAGTTAAACATGTTTATTTAGCAGGGCACTTCTAGTTCATGTGTTTTGGACTAACAGGATACTCTGCAGGGGGGGAGTCTGGAGACTGGCACAGTACAGAAGATGACAACTGTGAGTAGCTTTGAACTGATGCATTTGAAAGGGGATGTCCCTTTTGTTGGTCTTCAGAGTGACAGTGACCCCAGGAACAGCATCAAAAGAACACGAACTTTCCCCCTTTAATTCTGCAGTGACCTGATGATGGTTCAGTATCCCAGACTCCTGTGTATAGGGAATGGAGGCACAAACACAACTACCTGAAAGAGCAGAGCCACGTGCAACCATCCCACTGTTGTGACTGTCAAGAAATAGGCTAGGGCCCATCTGCTGGTTTTCTAAGAAATAAGTGCTTTTTCAGTCACCCAATTTCAGTGAAATAGCTGGTGACTACACAAAGATCTGCCTACGTTTCTGGATTTGGGTTCTTTATCTGTATAAAACATTTAACAAACACAAAAACCAACCCAGATGAGGTATGCTAATCAGCCAGAAGGAAAATGGTGTAAAGATAATTTAGCCTCACCATATGAAAATGCTCTTACTGATTTCTCTTCAGCATGAATGCTGGCCTGCCATGACATAAGATGTCCTACCCTAGCTAAAGGTGGGGTTATGGCACACCATTAATAACAATTCTTATATTAAGTAAAAGAAGCAAGACATAGTAATACTTGTATTTGTTCAAGACATTAAAAAAACCCAAGAAGGGCAAGCTTGTAGATTGAGCTTCTCAAGAGTAAATACAAATTACTCACAGATGCCCTACCAATAAAATGTGGCATTTTAAAATTGGGAAACTATTCCAGTCGGTTCTTAAACATCTCATTTAATCATTTTCTCATTTTCTTTAAATAAATGGTTTTTTAAATTTTTATTCAATAATCTCCTTCCAGAATTAATGCTCATTTACTGCCCTCTTGTGACAAGCTGCAATCTGCATATACAATTAAAATTCTGCAATTCAAGAACTATGAGGTATTTTTTTCAGTTAGTCTTGAAACAGTGACGTGTAGTTGAAATATTATGTACTGATGAGAGGTTTATAATGAAGGCACAGTGCAGAGTTCAATCTCCTGTTTCCATGCCCAAATGAGTAGAAGAGTACAGGAAGAATTTATTTTTTAAAAGCCTTTTAGTTATTTTTTAAGGAAAATGTAGTAGTTTCTAATTAAAAATCACAGAAGGTTCAGAGATTCAAACCAGCCCAGCTAGCTGTGAAAAGCCTAATGTAAACCTTGTCACACTGAATGTAGCTGCCCCACTCTTTTAATCATCTTTCAAGTTGTAGAAAGAGTGAAATCTCCTGTAGCACCACTGCTTACAGATGCTAATGAGGACTCACCTGATGAAAATTCTTGAAGAGGAGACCCTCTGTCTTCAGAAGGTCTCAGTGGCTGGCAGGAAGTTCTAAATTCAGTTAGTAGATGCCTAGATTTCTGTTCAAATTAAAAAGTGAAATAATGTGTCCATTTGAGTCATGCAAAGTCCTACTTCCAAAGCATTCTGTCAGTCAAATGTACTCTGTAATTATGTCTGCTTCAAAACATTGAGACTGCAATAGTGTTTCACATAGAATCATAGAATCCTAGGGGCTGGAAGGGACCTCGAAAGATCATCTAGTCCAACACCCCTGCCAGAGCAGGGTCACCTAGAGTACATCACACAGGAACGCATCCAGGTGGGTTTTGAATGTCTCCAGTGAAGGAGACTCCACAACCTCCCTGGGCAGTCTGTTCCAGGGCTCTGTCACTCTTACAGTAAAAATTTTTTTCCGGATATTCACCTTGAACCTCCTATGCTCCAATTTGCACCCATTACCCCTTATCCTATCACTGGTCATCACTGAGAAAAGCCTAAAGTACACTTTAAAGTACTATCATATCAGTCATAATGCTTTACCTTTGATACCAGCCAGGGAAGTAGGATTATCCTATCTAGGATAGGGATAGGCTAGGGAAAGTTAGATGTAGAGAAAATGGAAGCTCCTGACACAGCCCTCTGTTCTTATATGTTGCTCTACATACTATTATTCATCTGTTCATACAGAAACGATAGTGAATTTCTATTCCTGACTACAGAAATATCCCAGGAATTGTACTGAGTAAAAGGAGAGATCAACTGTCACCCCAAGCATCTTTTGCAGCCTGATGATGCCACTCTTTGCAGACGAGTGACGGAACCCTACAAAAACTCAGGTGAAACAAATTCTTTTTTCTAAGTGTTGGCATCTTTTCTAAAAGTCAAGAAGTTTCAAAACTCTCCCATTTCCACAACTCCAGTATAGAACAGTAATCCTTACTTTCTTATCCTGAATTCACAAGTGTAAGACAATCCATTTTTGTTCTTGGAATATCAATAATCTTATTATAGTCATACATGGGTTACAAAAATGTAAAAGCAGTGAAAGTGAAAAGTTTGCTGGAAGAATTCTGAAAAGTGTTTTAGGATTTATATTACAGTTGCCTTCCCCAGTGCTTCTAAATCTCTCTGCCTGCTTCTCAAAGGGTTGGAGCAAATGCTTTGTTAGAAAGAGATGCACCACTTCTAAGTTGATATATTGATCCAGGCATGGGAACACATTGTGTTTATTTACATGAAATTCTAGTCCCTTTCAAACCTTAAAACTACCTTGGCTACTCTGTCACCCATGAACTGCAAACCCTCTGCTCCATCTTTCAGTGTGGGCTTTTACATACCTTATGTTCCTTTATTTCATCCTGTGATGATGCAGCATTTTCACTTACAGCCAACTGTGAACAAAGCTCAGTTGCCTCAGAAGTGTCACTGTACATGTCCGAACCAATTACACTGCTGTAGGTGAACTAATAAAAAGTAAAACACAAGCAGAATTTTACATTTAATGCATTTTAAAATAAGAATTTCCTTTAGTCTTGAAAAATCTGTCTACTTTAACTGGACCATTTCACTGTGTATTAATGCTTGTGGTGATGCAGTTGAGTAAGTTCCACAGGATAGGAATAACTGGCCAGAGAATGGGAAATGGTGGTGTCCAGTGGTACTACTGGCTTACAGAGGCTGTGCAATTAGGTGTTTGTGAATGCTCTTTGAATTAATACAAATACTTTAATCTTCTGCATAATTCTAAATAATAACAATTCTAAGTCATACCTTCAACAGCCTTGTGCATCTAAATTGCACCAGTGTCACAGGCAGCATCTTACAACCTATGAAATCCTTATTCAGAAGTTTAGTGAAAACAAAGCATAGCTTAACTGCTGGGAAACAGCCAGCCTTGCTGCATGCAACAACTGCAATGCCATTTTTACATGGCTATTTTAGATGTTCACTTTAAAGCAGGAAAGACAGGTTTTCCAGCAGTCAACCAACTTGTCAGTTCCCCCTCAACCAGCAGAAGACCTCCAAGTACTTTGTGTCTATTTATAATGTGAAAACTATTAAAATTGCCTATGCTGATGTTACAGTAACAAACCAAAAAAGCAGGACTCAATCAAATAGCTGTTTATGCAAAAACAGGAAATTGGTTTCTATGTTGAGGAAACATAAAACGTTCACAGGGCCCAAATTCACCCTCTAAGTGGACCTATAATAGTATTTAACAGGTCTGCATCAACTTTACCTGGGACAGGGAGAACTCTGAGCTCAGAGATATATGTGTGATTTCATCAGAGGGACCCTTGATTCTAAAACTGCTCCTTTTCCAACTATCCCGATCCATTTGCTCCTTAATCATATCACGGGTGACATACACCAATGCACAACCAAGAAGAGCTTCAACAAATTCAAGAAAAACCAACTAGAGTAAAACAAACACAATTATTAATTAATTAATTTTTGCAAAATCACTTTGTTAATGGGTATATGTACCTGAGCAAGAAAAGAACTCAAAAGTGATGTAAAGCCTCACTGGCCCCTTTTAACTACCCAGCTATCCCTTCTTCTGAAAAAAAACCTGAAAACAGACAAAGCTCAAAAACTTGAGGAGGTGATAAGTCATATTGAAATAAAATACTACTGCTCAGATTTTTGCTGGAGTAATGAGAAATTTCTCTAACAGATAACACACAACTATTGCTATTGCCTAAAACGTTTAATTGCAAATGATGTTTCCTGAAACCCCAATAATGAGTGTATGATGAATCCCTTAGTAAGTCTTACACTGTGTGTTCAGTCTATCAGGTACTGTTTGAAACATGAATTAAATTATGTCATTTACAGTAGGCTGTTCCTGAGTAAGAGCTAATTCTTTAAGGGTGAAGGCCCTCTAGAGCCGGGCAGCTGTCAGGCACAAGAGCCTTTGACAGTCACTACTCAACCTCATTGAGGTGGCAGCACTTCACACATTGCAAATCAGTTTTCTTGGATTACCAGATTCTCAGGATTACATCTTAATGACTGACCCATCTTAACATGTCCAGCACATACCTCAGCAGCTGGAAGTGCTGATACTCATCCCTGCCTAATCAATATATACACACATTGTCAGGCAACTGCCCCACTGACACAACTATCACTAGCAGCAGTCTCCTAGAAAAGGTACTTCACCCTCTGGGCTACAGCACTGTTAGAGAGTTACCTGTATGGTCAGGTGTGCTGAGACTGCATGAAGAACAAGCATAATAAGCAAAATATAGAAATAAATGAGCTAAACCAGAAGATACAGGCAGAACAAAGGAAGAAAAAATAGAGGCTCAAGTTTGTACTCTTCTGATTTTATTTTTAATTAATTAGTTTATTTTTCTCCTGTGCTAGCAGACAGGACAGTAATCACTACATTTTTTAGAAGTTTAATTTCCTGTATCAGTGAACTACAGTATGTTTCTTCCATACAAACCTCCTGCTCCAGGTTGATAGTACTGCTGTCCTGTAGAGAGGGACCATCTTTGACAAGGATTTCCACAATTCTTGAAGCTGTTAGTTGTTTGCTGATAAGTTTAAAATCCTGGGTAAGAGTAAATGTTCATGTTAACTGCACTTAGGCATTCCCACATGGACCTAATCCAACTCCCTTTTAAAGTGTGTGTCATGATTTCTAGTGGTTTCAAATGATGCTTCCACATAGGTAATCAATGACAGAGTGAAATTCTGGCCCTGTTGAATTTAATGGGAACTTTTCCTAGCCTGCAAAAATAGTGTTAAGAAAGAACTTGTGAAAGCTCATAAATAAAAACATGAAAAATTACAACTTTGCCATCCAATTATTTTTTCCATTATTGTAAGGCTTGGATTTAAACAGTGACAGTGACCCAAAACCCAGGCATATCAATTGAATTGTTCCTTAGCTTCAGTGTAATCTTGATCTGTCCCTGAATTACTGAATTTTAGTAAAGAATCCCATGTTCACCTTGGAATATACTACATTATTACAGTATTGAAATGGCTTTCTGTGTTTTTTCAAAAGCTGCCAGTCTTTGAGTTCTACCAGTAAGATATTCTTCTGTATACAAGAGGATGGAGAAAAAAAAAGCCAGCAAAAATATTTATGTTCCCTTAAAATACGTTTGTCTAAGATATTTTTATTTTAAATTATCAAGTAAGAAATTGTAATTCAATCCTGCAAAAGCATAATAAAAAAATCACAACAACTCTCCCTTGAATGTTTGTTGGACAATTTGTACAAATAACATGGCTCCTACCTTTTCAACTGTGCAGAAGCCACAGGGAGTATTTGAAAATGCTCATATAAATTGAACAAATAAAGTTCATCTAATCACACAAAATAATTACAAAAAAAAAAAAATCTTACTTTTAACATCCAAAGAAAATGCCTCATTTTCATTGTGGGTTCAAATGGAGGTTTGGTTCTTGGTCTCCGAAAAGATTTGTATATTTCCCAGCATTTGTCAATGTAGCTCATGGCAAGAACCGTACATCGTTCATCAGAAAACAAGATACCTTTAAAAATCATTGTGAAAAAATAAGTCATGATAAACCAGTGATGTTTGTGGTACTAACTGATTCATTCTGCACAGCACAGAAAAAATACCATTACTTACCCTGGGTATGACAGGCAGTGGGAATAACATTCCTGGACATCATTTCTACAAAACACTTCTGCAGATAAGGACTTTTTTCTCTACAGTTGAAACAAAAATACTCTTGTCTGGGAAGTCTCAAACTGATGACACTGAAATAAATATCACTAAAAGATGAAACTTACTTGTGCTCTTCATGATAGATATGAAATGCTAGACGAGTAAGGTAAGATAAAAATGTTCTGAACAGTAAAGTCTCATGTGGACAATGGATCTCCTCAAGTGGTGTTTTATCACCTACAAAATTTGACAAAACAAATCTTACAGTCATATTGACTTGTCAGCCTTTCTTATCCTCTTCATCTCAACCTATCACAGTATAACAATGGTCCTGAAAGAATCAGACCAGACACAGCATTACTTCCAAACAAGCAGGTCAAGGGAGAACCACTGACCTATCACTGAACTGTATCACATTCCCTCCTTCTAGAAGTGCATCCACTCAGCATACAGGAAGGAAAGCAGAAGTGAAGCTGGAGTTAAACCTTTCACACACCAGGATGCTGTGGGCCACCCTCTGCAGCTCTAAGTGGAACTAACTGATTAACTGGCTCTATGGAATTTTAAAAAAACTTCACCCAAACCAAAGTTAAGACCATTGGGGGGGGAAAAAAAATTAAAATTGCTTCTTCGGTTTCTCAGATGTCTTAAAACTACATGTAACTGTCATGGTAAGACCAGGGGTGAACAAAAATTTTGAAAAGGTGGCGCTTTATAATAATTTTCAAGTGGTATTTTAATTCTGCATTTTCTCACCTAAGCACCTAAAGTGTCTGGAGAAGTGTTAATGCACTCACTGAAAACTCACAGGCACAGAGGTACTAACTCAGGGCCACTTCACTACCAGAGCTATCAGCAGATCCAACTCTCCACAGCTTACTAGTAACATTCCTAGATTCTAGACCTCGAGCAACAGAAACACAAACCACTCAATATCCGATCCATCTCTGCAAGAGTTATGTTGGCATGATGAAACCGGCAGTCCTTCAGAAATCTCCAAAACTGGAACTTGGTCATGAGGAAGATGTTGTCAAAAGAGTGATCACAGCCTAAGCTGCTGTAGAAGATGTAAATTCTTCTCAGTTCTGTCATATGCCTCAACACAGCAAATTCTACCTAAATAAAGCAGGATATATTTTCAGCACCTTCTCACAGCAAGCAGGGATCACTTTGTATTGGTCCTGTAACTGGTGATATAAAGCTTTTGTTCTTGTAACCTCAAAGAGCTCATAAAAGCATTACTCACATGTAGTTATAATACCTATTTTCTGGTGACCAATAAAAATATATTAGTCTCTGTCAGCAGACAAACCTCACAGCAGCTAAAGGGAGTTGCTGAATGTACTTCCAGATCTGTTAACATATTTTGAATTGTACTGGAAGCTCAGGAAGAGGCAATACTGTCTATTCATTCTTTTTGCTTTTCTGTTTTCATGGCCTTCAGATTTTTTAATAATTCTTCTATTAACACAAATAAATCAGAAATAACATAGTATGAAACACACTGCAGGGGAAAACTGAAAATATCAAAGAGTAGGCTCTTACTTGTTTCACTTCTTTGTGTCTCTCTTCCATTGGCAACAAGTCAAGCAGTGAAGATAAATCCAACTCAATATTTGATCCCAGAATAGAAGTATTTTCTGAGATATTAATCATTGTGATGTTTTCTACTATGCAAATGAATTAAATTAGAACACTCTAAAATGAAGTTAAAACATACACACACACACAGGGAAAATAAAAAATGTATTCTTCCTTCTTATTTTACTGACATTAAACTGAGAGTAACAGACTCCTTTATACTGAGATTTCATAATCGACAGCATAACAACTGAAGGGCAATTTTGTCAAATCCAACCTCTAGCCAAAAGGAAATGCAGATATTATGTAGCTGGGAAACTTTCAGACAACAGTGCTCTAAAAGATGTAGTGTGGATGTGCAACTGAGCTCCAAGTGTCATGTACAGGAAAAAAGCTTGGGAGCAAAAGTCATTAACTATTAAGATAACTCCCATCTTTATCAAAGTTCTTTAAAGAAATATATCTGGCTCTTGAGTAGTATAAAAAGCTTCACATTATAGTAAAAAGGAACAACACATGTGAACTAAGTAAATTTGTTTTCCTAAGCTGCTTACCAGTGCCAAAATTACTTGCTGTGCAAATGGCATTCAGCAATTTTGCATTCATTGCATCCACTTGAAAAGCAGGATATTCTACCACATGATCATCTATGAACTCTCCTTCATAAACATGACCATTCTTTAAGACAAACTTGCCCTATAGACAGATTAATTTGATTAATTTCAGTATAAATCAAAGATCAGAGAAAATAACGCTAATGGTCTTAATCAAATTTCCTTTTAATAGTCTTGGCTAAAATGTAACACTGGAGGTAAAATAAAGTAAAATAATTTTTCCTACCCTCTTTTATAAAATACTTTGTTATCTGTTAACTAAAGTGCACTGCTGGGATGAAGAATTGCCTATTGATCTGTGATTTTGAAATGTGTTTTGAGTAAAAATCTTTAGCCTCATCTACAAAGACTTGCTTGCAATCCTTAGTTTGCATACACGGCACTCCACTCACAGGTTTATTTTAAATAGTCTGTGAGTGTGAGAACATCTCTATGCAAGAATAGCTCAAAATCCATTAGCTTATAGTGTAAGAGTAAACATACTGGCCAACCCCTGCAAAAATCCAGATGCACCCAGTGCATTTAACATCTTCACAGTAAAACCTGTTTCTTTATGCATAGAACACACATGTCACCACAGATTCAAATATGTAGACCAGCAAGATCCTTGAAAGGATCCTATTTGTATGTTGGGATTCCATCCCACAGAGCAAATTGAAGGTAGTTTTCATTACAGAAATCTACAGATCCACTATACCAAGCAGAATTGTCTTGTCTGTGGTTTTGTCTTACTCCTTGTCAATACTCACCTTGCCATGCTTCTTATTACAAACCCATTCACCATCATATACTGCTCCACTGGCATATATGAACTTCCCACATCCATGTCGTTCCCCATTTACAAAATCACCTACGTATTCATTCCTTAAGGAATACTGAGACATAGGCATTCTCTTCAAATACCATACATGGGTACCATATCCATGCTGAAAAAAAAAAAAAAAGAAAAAAGAAAAAAAAAAGGTGTGTTTGAAAAAACCTCTCCAGAAGAGCTTGTACTGCTACAGGTCCAGACTTCTAAAAAGAAGAACCACCTTGACAGCTTCAAGAGCCACTGTTGGCAAATCTTTCAAACAAGAGCATGCAGATGACAGCTGCAGTGCTGCAATCCATCTACAGAGCTATATCCTACAAAGGTGCATGGGAGAAGTGCCCAGAGGATACACCAAATCAACACCTATTTGAGCAAGCCCTACCAGCTGGACACCAAGGACACCCTTCCTGCTAGAATCCTTTTGACTATAATGAACAGCCTGGTGAGGAACACCATACCAGAGCCACAGTGTTCAAGGAGCTGGACACCTTGATGATTTCATGCAGTGAAAAGACAGAGGAAGTAGCTCACATTCTTCTTCCAAAAGAGTATTAAAAGGAAGGAACAGAAAATGCCAGAAATCTTCTCCCTCCCATTTACAAGAGTTAACAGTGTGGTTTAATATTTTACAGGTGACACAGAAGCAAATTACCACTTATACTCACTGCTAAAGTCGTATCTCAACCTAAGTATAATCACAAACATTTAATTTTTATAGATTTTTTTTATTTTTTATATTTTCCATTAGATAATTAAATTATTATTTTCTAAAACTAAGTCAAAAGCCTTTTAAATATCTGAATATTGCTAACATTAAAATCAACTTACAATAAACAGCATATTTCCACTATCTCAACTGGCAAAAATCATATTAAGTTCTTTTGGTATGTGCACTTTGCACAGTAGTCCCTGTCTAGTTTTACTACAGTAATGGACAGATGCTGAACTAAAGAGGCTGCTGGGGAAGAAATGAATACCTGTATGCCACACACCCACTGTCCTATATACTCTTGATTAGTTGTCAGCCATCTCATTCTTCCCTTTCCATGACGTACATTTTTCTCCCACTGACCCTCATAGGTATTTCCAGACTTATAGCTGCAGGAAAACAATAACAGTAAATTCTGAGTGGATCTTATTAAAGCCAGGTTTATGCAAAACTTTGTTAATAATAAATTTTTCCAAAGTCTTCACCCTAGCTAATCAATCTATTATTTTATATTATAAGTCCACAAATAAGTAATGTATTCATGAAAACAGCTCCACATCTTCAAACCAAATGAGTTTGCTTTAAATGTTGATTTGTGGTTTACCAAAGCTGGTTCTGCATTTTGTCTTTAGACATTCTTTTGTGGGAATGATCAGCAGAAATATACTAATACAAAAATGTGAACTATAGAGAAAGTCTGTTTTATTATTACAAAGCACTTTGTACAATTATTTATTTCAGTGCAGAAAATGCACGCTGCTATGAAATGGTAACATTGGTATCAATTTTAAACAATAGGAGAAACTATATGATAGTACATGTAAAATTAAAATCTAATGAAGAACAAGTGTTATGATAGAACATGTAAAATTAAAATCTAATGAAGAACAAGTGTTATCACATTTACCATCGAATTCCCCATCCTTCTTTGACGTTGTTTACCCAGTCGCCTGAATACCAAGAGGTACGTTCCTGATCATAATAAATGGTACCCTGGAACAAACACTGTAGTCAATACCTAAACATCCATCTGCACCAATAAACAGACATATATGCCACATGTAATCACACTCTTACTTATAGTCACTTTGAGACACTGTACTGAAAGCAGCTGAAGTGATAAAATGAAATAAAAAAGCAACCTCTTCTGATGAGTATCAGTTAAGAGCTTAAAAGGGTGTTCAAAAAAATTGTTTTACGGCCAAGTCTACCATGTTTTTCAAACCACTTGGAAATACTTTCTGTGAGCTAGCTTTGGTAACATAATCACACCAGTCCCTCTGAGGCAGATCAGTCTTTTGACTTGTTCAGAATTCAATCTTCAAGTGCATCTACAGCTTCCTCTGAGAACAAACTGGACAGACCATTGCATTGGTGACCACCCCCAGCAGCCTGTATGATGTTACTGTCTCATTAGCAACAAGGAACAAAACCCGTGTCATTAGAATGGATTTTCCTCACATGCTAAGAATCAGTCTTCGAAATGTCAGGCCTAGAGGAGTGTCTCAATCTGGATGCACAAAATGGAGACTGATAAAAGCACTACCTGCCTTAAAAAAGTTGTAACTTGATGTTACTTACACTAGGTAAGGCAGTCTTAATTATAATTACTGTGGTTGGTCTGCTTAACATATTTGGGAGGCAGGATCACTCTGTCATTACTGGGAAGGTAAATTTTCTGTCATTGTTACATGGCTATTGATGCAGTTGTCAGTTTTGACTTTGTCATCATCTGCTTGGAGCAGCACGAAGGACAAACCACATAACAGGCTAATTACTCTTTTACAACACCATTCATCTCTTTCACTACAAACATTATCCCATCCCAATTGTTTTAATTGGCACTCATGAGAAGAGAGTGTTTTTAGGGTTCCTCAGAGAAGATCCTTAAAAAAAATTAATCTCTACACAGGGTAACACCATGCAACAGTACAAAACATTTTGCAAAACCTCTCCACAAGAGTTCTTTGCTGTTCTAGAAGGCAGTCACCCAAGATCATGCTCTCATTTAGAGTTCTTACTTACTTTTCCATGTCTTTTGCCTTTATACCAATAGCCAACGTAAGAAACAGGACGAGTACCACTCCTGAAAAATCCAAATCCATGCCTCATGCCATACTGGATTGATCCTTCATAAATGCTGCCATCATTCCATGTGTAACGGCCACTAAACATCTGCACATTCTTAACAAATGTTCCCTAAAAGATTAAATTACAACATTTACAAAACTAAGACCCACTGCTCCCCAGCTACCTGGGAGAAACCAGGCTTGTGATTGAAATCACTGCCATAGTTCTGCAGTTGCCACCCATACTGTACCAATTACTGCAACTTACCTACTTTCCTTGAATTTCCCCATCTAATTGGCTGTAATTGTGTTCAGTTATAAGTTAAATTGCACTTTACCTCATACTTCACTCCATCAGCCCATGTGTAAGTCCCTTGTCCATGCATAAGCCCTTCAGAGAACATGCCCTTCAAAATGAAATGGCATCATTCGCAAATTTATTCTTACCACAACTGAGCCTACAGTGACTGTAAGATTTAAAAATAATGACGTGTTAATTCCACTCCGACTACTAGTTTCAAATGAAGTTTTAATGCCCAAAAGCAACAGAGTTTTCAATGGTTACACATTCTAAGTGTTCAACCTCCCCCTACATTAGATAGCCTGCTAGTTCTAGAGAAAAAACCTGATCCACTACTATTTCTTTTTTAATTTATGCACTCACCTTATATGTATTTCCCCCCTCAAGACATGCAAATCCTTCACCCTCGTACATTCCACGGACTTTTTCACCCACATAGCTACAAGGAAAACAAACTAATGATGAAGACTTCAAGTCACTGCCAGTAGACCTACACCACAACAGACATACAATAAAAGACCTTTGATTTACCATGGTCTCTATGCACATCAGTTGTTGCATCTTGTGTAGAAACACAAGATACAACAAAATTTCAATTTTTTTGCCCCTTTCTTGTAATATTTCACATTATTGTTGTGTTGCCTCAAACCATGTTTCCCCATATTTCTTTCAACTAAGAAAACAAAGCACACTGGTAGCATTTACTAGCTTACAACCAGGAAATATGGTTAGTATGGGAAACATCACATATAGTCCCCATTAACTACAAAACAATCTGTTCACTCTGCCATTCAGCTGCTTCCTCAGCTTAGCATATTCTTAAGGGGTATGAGCAGCCTTAAACATTCAAAGGCAGCAACAACTGCACACTAAATAGCAGACCTACATTTTCTTCACTAACTGCCTGTACACTTTGACAAAACCCTGCTGTAGGCAAACAAGCTAAAAAAAGGAGCCTTTTGGCAAGCAGAGAGTGCCAGCAAAACTCTTAACATGCAACAAGGCAACAGAATTCCCCATGTATCCGTGTCATAAGGTATAATGGCTCCTAGGTCTGAATAACCTGATTCACTGCCTCAAATCAACAGTCAAATCCATGTTTGCATAAGACTGTGTACACCAGAGTTACTTAAATGAGAATTATTTTTTTACTTCACTGGTGTATTTGTAACAGGCATACCTTTTTACAATAACTTCTGTAAGAGCAGGCTCCTCACAGTATTGAGGAACATCTTGGACTGGAGGTTCCTCTACTTCCTCTGGTTCATTCTCTGGTATCACTGGATTTTTCTGTGTTTCTTCCACTTCAATCCCATCTACCAGTTTTGTTGAATTACTCTCAGCTGTAGTATCTTGTGCAGGAATAGGATATACAGGTTTTTCTGCCTTCTTCCCATTTTTCTTCTTATCCTTTGCCATAACTTCTGAATTGTCTCAACATGTATTTTCCTTCTGAACATTCACTGTCTTAGGTAAAGATATTTTTGCCCCTATATTTGATTTAAAAAAACCAAACAAACCAAAACAACAAAATGTTTACATACATTAACAATGATATTTTTAATTATTACATATGTGTATATTCTGAGCTCCCCAAGGCAGGGGTCACAGCTCGTGGCAGGGCTGACAGGACGCAAGGCCTGTGAGAAGCCTTATCAAAACCACAACAGAAGGGTTGTCAATAGACTTCTGCTACACGGAAATCTTGACTAGATTTCTAGATGTCTAGATTTAATAATGCAGAGAAGTCAAAAGCCATTTATGAAAGCTACAAAGTTGCTATGTTTTTTGGAAATTCCAGCTGCACTACCCGATTTCAATTGCTCTCCAAGTTACCAGGCGCAGACTGAACCACAACACAGAATAACCACTGTAGCTAATGAGGTTATTCTGCCAGTTAGGAGCTACCTGAAGGTCACACGGCTGCCTGAACAGCTATAATCACAGCTCCCCCTCATTTCATCACCGCTTTGCACCAGCCGCAGCCCCAGGCGCCGACAGGAGCCGCCTCAGGCAACCGCCATCTTCCCGCCCCGCCGGCTCCCGGCCAGCGCCTCGTCCCGCGGGGCAATTCCTGCGCCCGATCCCGGCCCCCCGCAGCTGGGACCCCTTCCCGCCTTGGGGCCGGGAGGCCGGGCCCGCAGCGCCCCGCGCCTCACCCCGCAGGCACCGCAGCGCGGCGATCGCCGCCGTCACCGCAGCAACGGCTGCGCCGCATGGCCCGCCGGGACCGGGACTCGAACCCGGACCCTCCGCAGTGTTCCCCAGCGCGGTCAGCGCCGCTGCCCGGTGCCCCCGCTCCTGCCTCGGCCCCGCCGGGACCGGGACTCGAACCCGGACCCTCCGCAGTGTTCCCCAGCGCGGTCAGCGCCGCTGCCCGGTGCCCCCGCTCCTGCCTCGGCCCCGCCGGGACCGGGACTCGAACCCGGACCCTCCGCAGTGTTCCCCAGCGCGGTCAGCGCCGCTGCCCGGTGCCCCCGCTCCTGCCTCGGCCCCGCCGGGACCGGGACTCGAACCCGGACCCTCCGCAGTGTTCCCCAGCGCGGTCAGCGCCGCTGCCCGGTGCCCCCGCTCCCGCCTCGGCCCCGCAGCAGCGGCTGCTGAGGAAAAGGCAACAATAAACACACCGACTTCCTAGGTCAAGTCTTGGTCCGGCAGAAGAAGAGCTTAGCTATCTGCTTGAGTGCATCTGTGATTCAAAACCACAACATTTCTAACTATTCTGAGTCTCCTGAGACAGGCTGACCTGCCGGGTGGTGCCTGGGGGGGCTTTTCCCGTGCATCTCACCAAAGGAATCCCTGTTCTTGAATAAATGTGGAAGGAAACAACTCTAATTAAAAGCAAATACGCCAGATTCATTATTCTATTAAAGCATTAAACACAGATGTCAGTAAGGGTATCATTAAATGCAATATTAATGAAGTAATTAATCAAACCAAACTTTAGTATAAATTAAGAAAAAAGTATTTTCACTTGTATATAATTTACATTTTCTTTAAAATTATCATATATGGGATGTAAAAACGTAGAAAGTAAATGTTTGTTTTATGGCATCACTAAAGACATTCACATTCCACCTGATTTTAATAATCAGTGTATTTGCTATAAATGAGGTTCACCTACTCTTGATCTTTAGATATAAACATTTATTTTTTTTTAAGTCCTCATTGCAAAAATAAGCAATCAGTAAGTAGCAATAAAAGAAATTTAATTTACACATAAATTCCAGTATATCAACATTATTGAATTGATAGGAGTGACAATGAAACCCTGATGGATGCCTTTAAGTGTTACTGTCTTCAAATTTATACACTGGCTAAAATTTTTTAAACTTGAATTAAGAGTCATGATAAAAGCTCAAAATACAGCCAAGAATTAAAATAAGAAATGCTACTAAACAGAAGCTGACTTATTCTGGTGAAATCAAGTCCAGGCTGACTATGTGTCTCATAGTTGGCCTTCCATGGGGGCAGTTCCAGGGATGCTCAATCTCCCCCATATGTGTGACCAGTTTCCTCATTTCCTGCACATTCAGTGCAGTTCCAATCATCACCTGCAAGTAAAGGCAAAAAACCACAATTAGTATTTCTTTCTCCATATTGACAAGGGGCACAGATAAGAGCAGTACTTCAGCTACTAGAGCAAATAAATACTGTGCAAGGCATTAAAAGCAGAAGGACCTATAGGCTGAACAGAAGAAAATACAGCTAAGTATGTTTCTAAGTGCACTAGTTTGAAACTAAAAACCTACCATAAATTTCCCCCTGGTTACACCAGACAAAAACACCAAGAACAAAAGGAAGGATATTAGCTGTTGATAACAGTAAATAAACTTCACGTGCAAAATATATAGATAAAAAAAGTTATTTGTTTGAAAACAAGCATCATGTGCTGTACTTACAGACTTTCTGCAAGCCCGAGAAGCAAACATCTGTCTGACCCGGGAAGGCCTACACATGACTCCAGGGCAGTCACTTAACATGAAGATCAGCTCATCTATGTCCTGGGGACCAAAAGTCCAGTTCTTGCTTGTTGGCAACGATATTAATTTAACTCTTTGAGTTACAGGAGCTGGAAGATTTGCAATGCTTAATTAAAAAAAACAAAACAGATCATCACAGGAAATTAATTACCTCTACTTGAGGGAAAAAAACATGAGAAATTCCTTTGACAAATTAATGTGACCTACCTTTATGCAGAAATTTAAATTCAGTCTTTTGATGGATGTTATTAACTAACCCAAGTGGTAACTATAGCAGATAGCCTTTTAACATTAACAAAAAATAATTCCTTGGAAAGTTAAGAACAGATAGACCTAATTTCTGACAAATCCTTCCATCTCAAAGAATGAATGGGTTTATTAAGCTATTTTGAGGTTAGGTGATGACAAAATAATTAAGGATTTTTGTTGGTAAGAGATTGATAATTTAAAAAAATTTAGGCAAAACCTGGCAAGATTCTGGAATGAAGAATATGGAAAAAAATCTGTAGTGACCTTCCAAATACCAAAGTGGTAACACACAGCACTTTTGTGTCCTTGCTGTACAAGGAAAACAATAAGGAGCTTGCAGGTTATACAACTAGCTCAGAAGTACACAGCAAGCCAATAAAATCCATAAGTAAAACCAAAGAACATTATTTACCAATGGTATCTACTAATTTATTTTCTAAATTTATCATTTGCCTGCATACAACTCTGCTAGGAACAGCAAATGTACTAATAAAACAAAGGGATTTCAATATCACACATCCAGTAATATAGTCAACCAGTGACTCCAAAGAGTCTTTTTAGAAACTTCTGTGAACAGCCAGTGAGAGAACTCTGCAATGACCTGGTAAACAGTGCACAGACCACAGAATCTTTAGTCTTAAAACAACAAACCATATACTACAATGCAGATTATTTCAAAGTTTCTGATAACTAGCAAAAGGTATTTTTACATAATCAATGAAATGAAATGGTTTCATTTTTTCACTTCCAGCAATTCTGGACAAAACTCACCATCTTCATTTATGACAAAGTCAAACCCATTTTTTCTGAATATTTCCAGGTTTTCAATCAATACGCTTTCACTTACAGCAGTTAAATTGAGATTTTGAGGCCTGAAAGAGAAAAATATAGTATTATGTAGGTACATAGTGCAAACCACTCAAGACAGATTTCAGAAGCAACCTAGAGATATTAATACACTGCTCTCTCTGTTAAAACATTTCACTTTGTTAAAAAACCAAACCTCACTACTGAACAATTTGCTTCAGGTGTTAGTCAGCAGTTCAGCAGGTTGGGCAGCACTCCCTGCTCCTGTAGCAGTCTCCAGTATCCTCAATGCATATCCTCACTATAGGTTGCCATGTAAGCCCCCAGTGTAACCTTCTTGCCTGCTGACTTGCTCAGCAGGTTGGGCAGCATTCCCTGCTCCTGTAGCAGTCTCCAGTATCCTCAATGCATATCCTCACTATAGGTTGCCATGTAAGCCCCCAGTGTAACCTTCTTGCCCGCTGACTTGCTACACAGCTACAGATCTATCCACAGAATTTATTTTGCATGTGAAGCCTCACTCTTTGGAGCACAGAACAGAAAAGCAGCTTTTGTCTTATGTGTTTTGAATGTGTGGGATGCTGCATAAATACAGTCACAGATACCATTCTGAAACAAACTTAACAGTTATTATTGTTAAAATAACTGCAAATACTTACACTATCAGCTTCTGACCTTGAAGAACAGTATGTTGTTGTAACATCTCAAAGTTGTATTTCTCGTCAGTAGCATGTTGGTCAATTATGAAAAGATCAGAATTCAACTTTGTTATTATAAACCCTAAATTGAACTGGCCAATGATTTCCATTTTTGCAAACATTTCTTTACTGTATACAGAAAATATAAACATATTATAAATTACACTTCATCAGTTATCATGTTAAGACATTAAAATTTAAAAATATCTTTCTCCCCTGCAGAATACTCTTCACATTTATTAAAAAACTAAACTTGTTTAAACAGGATATGAATGTGGAAAAGTAATCTGGAATCTGCCACTGACTAATGAGGCCTTTTCTGGCAGAACACAATCCATCACTAAGGCAGGTCTCATGCAGGATTCTCTTATTTTAAATACAGACACTGGTGATCATAAAATTAGAAATAGGCAGTATGTTGATGGTGCAATTGAAGAACATTGAGGGCAGCATCATGGTTTAAGTAAGGCAACTGATACTTGCCTTTTCTTCACAATTAGTAGGCTTTCCTAACCAAAGGTAACAAATCATATTCTTTTACTGCCATGTGATCATCTGAACGTAACTTATTTTCACAGCCAGTGCTCACCAAATTGCAAATTCATGAGGAAGAAACAGGAGTTAGGCAGCTTTTTCAGAGGGTTCTTACCTGTCAAGAAACTGGATGTGTCTCTGACTAAAC